GAAACTGAGGCAAATAAATGGTTTCTGTTGTGCTCTGTTGTCCCTTTTTTCGGATGGGGAAACTGAGGTAGAGTGGCTGACTAGCCCAGAGGCATTCCATTGAGGAGGGGAGGTCCTCGAAACTGTCAGATTCAGCTCAATGCAGTTCAGTAAACATTAAGAACCTCAAAGTGCATTCTGGTCCTAAGAAGACATAGTTTTTGCCCTCAAGAAGCATGTGTTCTATGACAGGGATGCAGAATGGCATGGTGGGCTTGGAGTCAGGAAGGCCTGGGTTTGAATTCTGTCTCAGCCATCTACTAACTGTGCATCCTTGGGCAAGTCATTTAACATCTCTTCATATGTATAACGAGGGGGGTGGACCCAGTGGCCTTTATGATCCTCACCAGCTCTAAATTTATGCTTCTGTCTGTGAACACTGATAAGTAAACACAACATAATTTGATGAAGAACCCGAAGAGCTAGAAGGGACCTTTAAGGCCATCTACTCCAATTCCTTCCCCACCCCATTTTTCAGATGAGAAAACTGAGGCTCATTTTTTTTTTCATTTCTTCATTTTCGAAAAAAAAAAAAGTGATTTACCCAAGGTCACATGGGTAGTAAGAGGCAGAGTCTCTATCTGAACCCAGCACCATTGACTCCAATGTTCTTTCCATGGGAAGAGAGCACTGATAACTAGGACACTCAGGAAGGAGGGTTTCCCATGGGAGATGGTGTCTCAACAAAGCCTTGAAGGGATTCAGGGAATCTAAGAGGGAGAGGTAAGGAGAAAGTGCATCCCTAGCCCCTTCAGGGACACAGTCTGAGGAGAGTCATGAGGAGAGAGACAGAACAGGGGGGATGAAAACCACCTTTAAATCTGTTCTGGTTTTGTATCCCGGTGGCCAAGCCCATGTAAGTGTTTGATAAATGCTTGAGTGAATGTATGAAAAAAGCATGTATTGAGCACCTGCTGTGTGCCAGATACTGTGCTGAGTGCTGAGGAAACAGATTTAAAAAGAAAACATCCCTCAAAGAGCTCATATTATACTAGAGGCTGACAGCGCCTCTGCTGGAGAGGCGATGAGGAGCCCTTGTTCTGGGGGGTCCGGCTGGACTAGACACCATGCTGAGGTGTCTGGGCCCAGCCGTGAGATCCAGCAGGCTAGGCAGGCCAGTTTGCACACATTCAGTCCTCAGCCAACTAGATGGGACTCTAGGTGAATGGACTGATTTGTTCCGCCTAGGACTGGAGGCATGGATTTAATAATAATAGTCATAGTAATGGTAATAATAATAGTAGTGATGGTGATGATAGCTAATATTTCTAGAGCTCCTACCATGTGCCACACACTGTGCTAAGCACTTCACAAGTACTCTCTCATTTGATCCTGGGAAGGTAGAGGCTGTTATTATCCCTCTTTTACAGATGAGGACACTGAGGCAAAGAGAAGGGAAGTGACTTGCCCAGGGTCACATAGCTAATACGTAAGTGTCTGCTGCCAGATTTCAATCAAGTCTTCCTGGCTCCAGGCCCAGCACTCCCAGTGACTGTGCCGCCAGGATGACCTGGTGTGTAAGATTGGATTGTTGGAACAACAGGGTGAAAACCCTAACAGTGCCTGCCCTCTGGGAGTTTCTGTTCTGGTAGGAGTTTGGGAGCAAGGGGATGGCTGCAGCCTCTACACATCTAGGGAAATACAGTATAATTTAAGGAAGGAGATAGTCCTAACAGCTAGGGGGAGTCCCATGTTTCTAGTTGCTTTGGAAGCATATCCTAGGGTCCCCTGACCCTAAGGTGGGAAGCTCTTCCCTAAGATGGCATTTCCATTCCCCCAGGTGCTCTTTATTTCAGACTTTTCCCTCTAGACCTGATCTTGGTAGGAAGGAAAAAAAGAGTGAGTCACCAGGCTCCTGAATCCTGTCCCTAGAAGGGAACCAAGAGACTGAAAAAGAACATGGAGGGCATCTCAGCCAAGCCCCTCACTTGACAGATGAGCAAACTGAGGCCCAGAGAAGGGAAGGGGTTTGTCTGCAGTCGTGTAGCTCACCTTGGGTGAAACGAGGGCTTGTTTCTAAAACCCTTAGTTCTTCCCCCCACCCTGCCCATCACTGGCCATCGCCAGACCCCCTGACCTTCTCCAATTCCCCTTCTTCAGGGGAAATAATCCCAGTTCCTTGAGACTTTCTTCAGCATAGTTCTTTCCAACCTCATAATTATTTTCATTACTGTCCTCTGGACCCTCACCTACTTACCATGCATGGCATACCAGCTGCCTGCTATGTGCTGGATCAAATGTGGAATTAACCAACAGGCACCCCCCTTTATGCAGATGTGCAAAGACGTGCAAGCTTGGACCAGCCTACCAGACGTTGGCCCAGGCTGGAAGGAAATCTGCATGTGGGAAGTGGAGATTTTCACTAAAAACGAGAACTGCAAGTTACAGCATGGGAGGCCAAGTTCACAAATAACTGAGCTAACTTGTGCACCGACATCACACATTTAATGTGAGCTCGAAAGCACAGGAGTCAGGAAGACCTGAATTCAAATCCAGCCTCAGATACTTACTGTGTGACCCTGGGCAAATCACTTCACCTCTGTTTCTTCATCTATAAAATGGGGATCATAATAACCCCAATTGAAATACTGTGTTAAGTACTTCACAAACCATAAAGCTTTATGTAAAAGCTAGTGGGTTGTGATATGATGACATGAGCCATAATGGAGGGAAAAGAGGTCAAGAGGATTTAGCACACCAGGTTTGGGGGTTATTTTGTTTTGTTTTTAAGTGGCTTCGGTGTCCATTTTGGCAATGCAGTTGAATCCTTATATCTGGCAACTCTTTCCAGCCTCCATGGCAGTGGGCTCAGTCCCAGGCAGGCTCTCCAGGGAACGACGCCCAAGGCCACTCTCCTTCCTGCCTGTGTGAGCTTGGTTAAGTCCCCTCATCTCCTCGAGCCTCAGTTTCATCCCCTGTGAAATAAGGGAAGGTTAGACCAGGTACTCTAGAGGTTCCCCCCAGCTCTAAGTCTGTGATTAGATGAGCCCTCCCTCAATAATCACCACAATGGAGGAGCCATCCCCAGATCATTGAGAGTGACTTTCCTTGAATATGTAAATGCTCTGAGTTCTTAAAGCAAAAGGTGCTGAATTAATTGGAGCTCATCCTCATGACACACTTCTATCTTTAGGTGCACCGGGGCGGTGACATTGTTAATTATCACAAGGGCAAAGGAAAATCATTTGGGGTGGGGGGGGGCTTTTATTTGCTTGAACCCACCTACAGAGGCTCTTTGAGAGCCATGGGGCTCCCCCTCCAGCCACCCCCTGTACAAATGCAGCACCAGACTGGAAGGGTGGGGGGGCTAGCCACAGGGAGAGGGAGGCAGGCCGTCTGTTGTGGGCAGAGTTGGCCATTAGGTGGCAGAATAAAGCCAGCATTGGAAGACTCAGGAGCTTGCAGCTGCTTGACCTCCTGTTTAGATCCCCACCCCATCCAACACTGCCGTCCCTGGCAGGCCCCTTCACACCACCCTGACCCTCCATCTTCCCCCAAGCCCATTGCTGGCTCCCCACCGGCACCCCAGATAAAGCCACAGCTGGGACAGCCCGGCAGGCTGCATCCCCAACCCTCACTCTCCCTCCTGGGGACGCTTCTGTGATTTTGCTGTTGCTTCCAAAGAAGACGAGAGAAGGGCTTGGGGCGGGGGGGATGGAAAGGAGGGAGATAGGGAAAGCTCGGAGGAGACGTGCAGATTCATTTTGAGGATTCATAATGCTACATTTACACACCATACTGCCTTAGGAAATTGGGTAGATAGATGCCTGGTCATGCTGGCAGTACACTGGGTTAACTCTCTGGATTTAGCTTATATCATTTCATGAGAGCATTTATGGCCTTTACTGTGTTTATTCCCAATCGCTCTTTGGCCCTGCAGCATCTCAGACGTGTGTGTGTGCATATGCGTGTGTGTGCGTGTGTGTACATGCACACGAACAAGCCTCTCAGACTTGTGTGCGTGCGTGTGTGTATGTGCATGTGTGTGTGTGTACCCGCATGCACACAGACAAGTGTGCGTAGATTTTCAAGTAAAATAACAAATCTCTTCAGATGCCATGTGCATTAAATATTTATTGCCAGCAATTTGTGTGTGTGTGTCTGATAAATGGACATCAAAGGGGAGTGGGTAGGGAGGAGAGAGAAGGCAGAGAAGAGGAGGGTCTTGGGCACCAAGAAATAATGGGCCTTTTGTCCTGGAATTTCTGGAGATGGGGAAGGGAAGGGTCAGTGGCCTTGTTTACCTGTTTGATTCCGTTCAGTTCCAGCCAAGCCCTTCTGCTCTCTGGAGTTTTGTAAGTGGCTTTGGCTTCAGGGCCCTAACAGGAAGACACAGGGTGGGAAGGGTGACTGGGGTTCGACAGGTGGACCATTTGTCAAGGAGCTGCCTCCACATCCCAAGCTCTGAACGCACTCCCACCCCTTTCCCTTTCCAAGGAAAACAAAGCCCCATCCCTCCTTACTAAATAAGGGCCATACAGGCCATGCCCATAGAAGCTGATTTGAATACTAGCTCCCAGAACCCCTGGCAGAATTGCCTCCGACCTAGACCTGGTGTGCAAATGAGAGGCCTCCAGCCCAGTGGTGAGAATGCCTTCTGAGCTAGGAGTGCGCTCAGAGAGCCGGGCGCGCTAATGTGTGTTTACCACAATGGGGGAGGGAAAGGCCAGGTTGGCAGGAGAGTCGGTTTCCTGCTTGTCACATGAACTGACAAGACTCCCTCAGCATCATCCACTGCTTGTCCTCCAGGACCTGGGCAGTGAGCAAGGGATAAGGGGCTGTTTACCCTCCCAGCATGGGCCCGCGGAGAAGCCACGTGTGGTGTGGCTGCAGGTAACGTGGAGGGGATTAGCTCAGGAGAACCAAGGTCCCGCCCTCTCTTCCTCTTTTCCTCTCTCCCTCCCTCCTTTTCCTTTCTGAGTTCTTTGGTTCTTAAACTCCTGGGTGTTGTCTTTTGTTCCCAGCACCTTCGGGGAGCTGAAGACAGTCCGTTTGCCAAAGAAGATGACGGGGACAGGCCCCCACCGAGGGTTTGGCTTTGTGGATTTCTTAACCAAACAGGATGCCAAGGTGAGATCATGGTGCCATGCCTCTCCTCCCCATCCCTCCATTTTTCATTTAAGCTCCAAGGGATGCTGTTCACATGGGCCCTTTGAAAAGAAAGCATGGCCTCCCAGTAGACAAGGTGGGGTCCCAACCACATGTTGGCTTTTCATGTTTTCTAGCGTGATGGGGTTAATTTCCACAGAAGCTGGAGATGGGAAGGAAGTTTTCTATTTTACATGTGAAAACTGAGATAGAGATATCCTGGCACAAATGGCTTTTCCAGGCCCACCCAAGTCATTGGTGGAAATGGTATTGTAAACCAAGACTTCTGCCAGTCTGTTTGGCAACATTCTGCAACATAGTTAGCTTGGCACATCTGATATTGTCTCTGCTTCCTAGGATTGTTGAGGTCTTCCTTGCTCTGTAGAAAAATCTGGAGGTTCCCTTCCCCCTAACGCAGCACATTCCACTGTAGAACAGTCCTGGGGGGCCTTCCTACTCTGGAGAGCCTATCCTCATTGTTAGGATGTTTCTCCCAACACTGATCCAAAATCTGCTTCCTGGCAACATCTGCTGCCCTGCTCCCACTTCTTTCCTCTGGGGCTGAGCGGGATCGAGCCAGACTGGAGTGGGGAAGGAATAAGGCCAGCGCTTTAGGAGAGGCCGTTTCTGACCTTCCATCCTTTCCCTTGCTGACCTCTGTGAATCCCACAACGCCGGTGCATCTAGCAAAACTGGGCTCCGAGAGGCCAGGCTAGTGCTTTGAGCCCAGATGGACTGCGTGTGTGCGTGTGCACCCATTGCTAGTGTCTGTGTACATGTGCCGTGGAGAAGATCGACTGTCAGGCGCCTCTGGAGAGCCAGAACCGCTGCCCCCTTTTGTCGCCTTGGAGTGAGCCAATCTGCCTGAATTCCTGTTTGGCTTCCTTGCCGTGGGTAGCAGATGAACATCTGGCTCAGCAGCGGCTTTTGGGGGTGAACAGCTGTCTGAGCTGCTGCACAGATTCCCATGGGTCGGAAAAGGAGCCAAGTGTTGACTGGCCACTGCCCGCCAGCACATCGTGCTCCAGCTCAGGGTTCCACAAGGAACAAGGGGGCAGCATGAGGTCGGTAGGCCCGGCTTCTTATCCCAGATCTGCCACCCGCTAGCAGGGTTGCCTTGGGCAGGCTCCTTCGCTTCTCTGGGCATCCTCCACCATGGAAGGGTGAGGGGTTTGGACTTGATGATCTTCCAGTCCCCTCCAAGGTCTGCCATCCCGCACTGCCAAGGTCTCTCCCAGCCGTGACATTTTATGTTTCAAGGTGTCTTCCTGCTGGGACCTTCTGTGTGCCAAGGTCCCTTCTTCATCCTCATAGTCTGTTCTCCAAGGTCCCTTCTAGCCCTGACATTCTGTGATTCTGAAAAAGAGATTCTCTTTTCTCTCAGAAAGGTGACTCAGCAGCCCTCTGGCAAGAGGGGCTCCCAAGAGCCGGCCCCTCCTCGCCGGCCCAGCTGTGGGAAGCAGGAGGAGGTAGCTCCGGGACCCATCTGCCGCCTTTGTAGGCTGGCCGTGAGACCTGGCAGGGACGTCAGCATGGCGCCCTCAGCAAGCCTTTCCAATAGCCTTTGTCATCCTCAGTTGCGTCTCAGCAACTAGAATTCAAGTGCTTGTTTTGTTGACATTTTCCCAGTGTTCATCTGGACATCTGCTCCTGTTCCATCTTGTCATGAGACCTTCCCTCGGCCCCCACTGAAGGCAGTGAGCATTACGGAGGTCTTTGTACAGGACGACCACTCCACAGGCCAACTGTGGCCACTGAGGCCCAAGGCAAGGTCACTTTTTGATTTAATTTGCCCTGCTCTAGAAATTGTTCAAACACCCCCGCAGCCACTCATTAATTCTACAAGAATATTAGGTAGTTTTTCCATCTTTATTTCCCCATTAACTTGTGCACAGTAGGTGTACCTACAGCACACATGGGTTGAATCAGATCACAGAATGACAGAGTTGGCAGAGACCTCAGTGACCCACAAGTGTGCTTCATCCCTTTGTGGACTTGCGGACTTTGTTTGAGGAAGCAGCTCCCACCTCCCCTATCCATCGGCCTTCAAACACTGCTTGAATATCTCCACTCAGTCTTCTTCTCTGGGCTGAACATTCCCCCCAAGCTCATGGAGCAGATCCTCACATGGTGTGGACTCTCACTGGCCTCCATGTCTTCTTCTGGATACTGCTGGACAGCCTCTCAATGCAACAAATGCTTATTAGGCTTCATACGTGAGGCACAGGCCTAAGGGTTAGGGATGCCCAGACATGATAAAAACAAGTCCCTGCCCCCACGGATCTTACACTGTACCCGAGGGATGTGTCACACATCCAAGGAAATAAATTTCAGGAGAAAGAGCAGAATAAATTGAGGAAAGATCCAAAAAGGCCTTCTCCAGGAGAGGGCATGAGAGCTGAGCCTTGAAAGAAACCCATAGTGCTAGGAGGTGGGAGATGAAATACCGAGTTTGGAGGCAGGTCAACAGGGAGACTCGATTTCGCCGAATGTAGAGTGTGCGGACGTGGAGTCACGTGAAATGAAGCTGGAAACAAGCTAGAGCCAAACCGTGAAGGGCCCAAAATGGGGCCAAGCTAAAAAGCTGGTATTTCCTCGTGAAGGCAGCAGGGGACAGAGGGATGACACGATCCAGTCCGGGCCTTGGGAAAGTGATTTTTCTAACTGTGCAGAAGAAGAATTGGAGAAGGAAAAGACTGGATCCTCGGAGAGTACGATTGGGATGCTGTTGAGATTGTCCAGGGAGAGAGAGTCCTTCCTAAAAATGAGGTGCCCAGAGTGATTGTAGAGTTACTGTGTGGTCAGGGCAGAGCAGGGTTGGACAGCTGCCCTCTTTATTCTTGAATCGTCAGGTGCCCACCCTTGCTTGGGAGGAGGGCCAGGGAAGACTCATCCACGTAGCTAACCGTACTTACCACTGCGTAGGTAAGGCTTTGGGCGAACTGCTCATTTTTCAAGTGGGAAGGCTGAGTGAAACTAGCCCCAAAGACGCCTCAGACCGTTTTCAAGGGGAAGGACTTGTTGACTACTCAGATTAGTGTCTCTAGCTTCCCATTTTTCCAAAGCTTAAGTAAGTGTCTGAATTGAAATGTCACTTCTGATCTTTGCGGGGGAAGTGGGGTCTCAATCTGAAAAAGTCAGGGGAGCCTTTCCTAGCTTTCATTAAGGGATCTCGGGGAATTTCCATAGTGTTCAGGTCCTTTATTCTCATTCAGAGGTGATCCTACGAACATTATTTCCCGAGGCCCGTATTCTGCTATCGTAAAGATTTACTCTGTATTGATTTTCTGGGGGTGGCCACCCACCTGGCCCCATCCACTCCTCCCCACCTGTGTTTCTGGGTGCCACAGGGAACAAAAGCAGTTGAAGAGGGGATTGCAGCACTGTCTGTAGCCCCTGGGGGAGAGGGTCATCACACGCCCTCTCTCAGCATTCGCTAGACGTGGTACCTCCTTACACACCATTATGGCAGCATCTCTTCACTCTAGGGCCAGATCTGATTGCATTGGGATTGGGTCCCTTTATGTACAGCATGCCTGAACAAGCTGGTCTTCCATAGAGTGAGGACCCACGGTGAGTGCCTCACTCCTGGAAAGATTCGTTTGCTCTTTTTCTTCCTCTGGAAGCCTCTGTTGCTTTTTCTCTCTCCTTCTCCGAGTCTGTCTGAAGAACTTGATTGTCTTCTGAGTGGAACATTTACCGCTCTCTGATGACCCATAGAAAAGTGCACACTGCATATTGGTGAATAGAACTCTGAATATTGTAAATATCTAGTTAGCTCTAGGGCGGGAGTGAATTTGAAGAGGAAGCGTTAGACTGCGGAGACATTGGGCTGGAAAGCAACAAAGCCCTTTTTTTCTATCAGCAGAAGGAATTCCGGAGACACCCCCTCTCTGCCAGTGAACTCCAGAAATCATCACATCCTCTCGGCAGTTTCCCTAAGCTGTTCTGAAAAGTGATTCCCTATCTTGTTCTACTTTCATGGGTCATATTTAGGGTCAAGCACTTGGCCTAAACCAGGACCATGGGAAATTCTCCTTTGTACCCGGTTTCCATCCCTCATCAAAGTTATCCTCCGGTGGCCTGCTTTTCTGTCCTCTCCAAAGGGAGTCTCTTGTTTTCTGTCTTCTGCATCAATTGATCGGCAAGCATTTACTGAGTAAGCCTACTATGTTCCAGCCATGATGTCAGGAGTTGGCAAATGCAGTGGCTCTGAATCTCCCAGCAGAGCTACATGATGGGTGAGAAGGGCACTGTCAGGGCTAAGGCATGGTCGAGAGAAGAGAAAAGAAGTGGGGTACACGAGAAGGGGAAGAATATAAGAGCTTAGAGGGTCCCTTGATGTCATGTGGGCCAACTACCTCACTTTAAAGGTAGGGAAATGGAAGCCCAGAGATCACACAGGTTAAATATGTCACCAGGTTAGAATTCAAACCCAGATCCTTTGTCTGACTCCAGATGTAGAGCTCTGTCCATCAGACTGTGATGCCCTAGAATGAGATCTGAAAAGAACCTGAGGGATTGCCTGGCCAGCCTCCCACCTTTTACTCTCAAGGAAACTGAAGGCTAGAGAAGAGATAAGAGTCACACCGAGCCCGGAGGTCCTGACTCCTGGCCTAGCACACCTCCTGCCCCATTGCTTGCGCCTGCCTTCTTGCTGGAGAGCTGGAGAGGCAGCCCTGGCATCTGAGGATAGCCGGTCTCATCAGGGTGGCACTCTGAGGCCTTGCCAAGAGACTGCGTGGAGAGGTGTGTGTCTGTGCATCCGAATCTGGTTGTCAGTCTATATGTACATCACCTCATATGACCTCATGTTCTGTGGGTGCTATCGTCCCCATTTTACAAATGAGTAAACTGAGGCTTGGTTGAAGTGAGTGGCCCACTGTGTCTGAAGTCTCCCTTGACTCCAGGTCCAGCATTCTTTCCAGTATCCCAGGAAGCCCCTCATATTATTCCCATTCATGTGGTGCAGCAGGTTCACA